AAGGCAACTTCTCATGATTAAAACAGTCAATGATGCTACTCCACCAAAAGAATTCAGTTCGTTTATTTTGAATTGTAGGTTTAGGTTTATGTATTTGTTGTAACTCTTCATAGATTCTGTATCAGGGTGTTGTGAAAGCAATGAAATGACAGGAGATCTGACTACAGCATTCTGAATTCATTACTGACTTTCCAGATGGAAATCATTGGGTCTGCAGAAGAGCTAACTGAGAATGATCAAGATTTTACTGCAGCTAGATGCACTCTGTTTAGATTGTGTGACTCAGCATGTAAAAACAATTAAAAAAAAAAAATCCATAAGTGAGGAAAATCAAATAATACAAAATTAAGTGTTATCAATAATAATAATAATAATGATTAAAAAATCAATTCTCTTTAAAGTCAGCTCTCAGGCTCTGTTCCTTTGCATATGCAGAGAGCATACTGCATGTCCTTTACTCCTCCTGCCTTGTGTCGTGACAGGCTCACTCTGGATTCCTGCCTGCACCTCTCACTTCTGTTCTTGCAGTTCCACACACTAAAGAAACAGCTGGTCACAATTTATTTAATCATTAGCTAGCACAATCATCTCCCCACAGTCACTAGGCCAGTGATGCAATGCTGCAGGCTTAATAATGCCCCTCCTGCCCCACGTGTCGTTCCGAGCCATGCACGCATGTACTGATCTTGTACAGCTTTGCGAGAGTTGTTTCCAAAGCTGAGATAGATTGGACCTATTTTTCCAAAACATAATCCATAATTAAAGAAGAAGAAGAAACTACTCTCTGCCTAATTTCTACCTTGCTGCCATTTGATACAGCCATATTCAGCATACACTGTGAAATGGTCCAGCACACACTACAACAGCTGCAGGGAAGGCAAATGAAAACACAGCACCCTTAAAGCCTAATGCCAGCTAATGAAACAAAACTACTTAACATTGTGTATTTACTTGCCAGCTGTTTCACAGGCTGCAGTTCAGTTGCTTTTGGATAAATGGAAACAAAAAATAAAGTTGTGTTATGACGGAAGAAGACACCAATGTCATCCTACGCAGACAAAGAACAGATGAACACAAATCCCATGTTTTGAAAGTCAAAGAGGCATGAAAAACAATACACTTCCTGTTGCTTGAGTCATATTGATTCCCTTCAAGGGCAATGGAAAATAAACTAACAAAACTTTTGGCAATTAATTTACCAAATTACCATTGCTAATTTCAGAGGATTCCTATGTCTTTACCATTAGCTACCACAGTGACCTCTCAGTGGCTGCCAGTGATAATGCAATGCAACTTGCATTATCTCTTTTGTGGGACCACACAGTATTCCCAACACACACAGAGGCACTGGTCTTGTACATGTCTACATAAACTATTTTCAAAGCCAATGTGGAAAACGTGATGTACATCACATTTGAAGGCAGAGACTGCAACAAAGATTTGGAAGAGACCGAGATACGCACTTGGGAAGGAGCCAGTAATTGCCCATAGGAGGATGGAGTAGCTGGATAATGAGGTGGTAAGAAACAAGGAAGGAGAACTAACTGGGGAATCTAGGACAGCAGCCAGCTAGCAGAGGTAGGAAGTGTCTGTTCAAAAATGCTGGAAAACATACCTGGAGAATACTGGGCCTTGCTAGCAAAACCTTGGGCCAGGCATAAATCATGCAATGCATTGAGAGTAGAACAAGACAGGGTGAAGGACAGAGCTGTAATTTCTCAGGGATATAAAGGAGGTTGCACAGGATGTCCTAATTCTGGCATTTCTAAGTTTTTGCTCAGACAGTTTTGCAGAATGAACAGTCTCTGAATGTAGCTTTTTCTGTGTAATGTGATTTTTCACTAAAGTAATGAATAAGATGCAATTGGTCCCCGCTGAACTCAAAGGATATATTTTCATTTAAAGTTCTGTTACGAGCAGTTTTATGCACTTGCATGTCACAGTCCTGAGTAGCATTCCACTATAACACTGGGAAGCCCTGAGCTTGCCTGGTGGGACACATCATGACATTTTGGTAATATAGTCAGACCTGAATCCTTATTTCCCCCCTTGGTTACATTCCACTTAAAACTGCCAGTGAAACATAAAAATGGGCCCTAAGCTGAACGATGAAGTTGGTAGTATATATACTTACTCACAAAAATACACGCATGGACTATTATCACAGAATCATCCTTTCAGTGTTTATGGCTTGAGCTTTGAAACTGTAAAGATGTATCCGATGACAAATTTTTTTGGCTCTAAGTTTTGTTATGAAAGATTCTCTCAGCACTGTGGGAAACAAAAAGGGATTGTCAGAAGTACAGCCCTTTTGTAAGGCTTTGGGAATGCATTCTCTTTCAGCAAGGTTACAAAGTAGGTTTCTACAGTGCCCTGAGACTCACAGGAACCCCGTTGTCTTTCTAAGCTCTATTACATCTGCTGCCTTTCTAATAACTGTGGTACAAATGGCATGTGATTCTACTTTGCTTTCAGAGCTCTAGCTAAAGAAAATATGCAGTGACACATGGACATGTACCAACTCCCTGGGATTGCACACAGTAATATCAACCTACAGATTGGGCAATCAATATTTAAAATTCATATCAAGTCCATGGGGGAGTTCACTGTGTGTTACAGTGTCTCCTGGATGGACCATGCAGTAAAACTGTGATTCACCAAGTATTTTGTTTAATAGAAAAAGAGGCAGGCTAAAATAAAACAGGGCACTCTCCATCCACCTTGTGTTGTCTGTGTGCTCCTGTGACTGTGCAGTTATTCCAGAGCGGGGTCATGTCTGTGCTGCTGTTGTTTGGCACTTGCAGGTGATACTCCTGCACCACAAAGCACTTAGGGCCTAAGATGGTGGGCAAAAAACTGCTGGTGCAGATGGTATGATCTAGATGTAAGAAGTGGTACCCAGATGCTGGGGAGGCCCCTGTACCTGTCTTGCTGTGTACACACACCATTCCATGCAGGAATACGTCACCCAAGTTCCATATTTGCTAGTGACTTTAATACACTCATTTTGCCAACGTCCTAAAATACCATTATGAAAAAAAATCTAGCTTTCTCCTATCTCCCATTGAAACACATTAGACAAAGCCTGAAATTCACTTCCAAGGGGAATAACTGTATTCTCTCAGTAAGACTTAAAATCTACCTAATAACCACTAGGTTGACCTTTTCCTTATTTCTGTCAAGTCCCATATACAAGCCAGGGGACCTGTTTACAACTTCTCTTCTGAAGTCATAGTGCAGTTAGTGCACAAACATCACCTGGGACACCACCAGTTTTGTGCTGCTGTTTCTAACCACTGTGTAAGGATGGGCAGCTGTGTTGTAACCAGGTCAGATGTGCTGCCTGTGAGTGTAACGTATATGCATAGGATTAAGAATGAAATAGAGCCCTCCCCATGCTATGAGCTTGCTTTTCAGAACTACTTTTTTTTCCTCTACTAATACTTCAGCTTTTTCTGAAACAATCTCCTTCATTAAAGGGTAAAACAGAATAGGCAGTGGCCTTGCCCCACATTACTTAAATGGGATAGAGGACTTCCATGCCATGAAAACTTTAAACTGCACGGAATATGAGGATCAGAGATAACATACAGATTAATTTAATTTCCTTGGTTTGGAACACCCTGGCTTATCCTACAGTTTCCAAAGAAGACTTAGGGGGATAGGAAGAACTGAGTGGGATAACCCTGCACCAAGCCTATCTTCATGGATCTTTAACAATGTTTTGGTCTATTTTGGGGTGTTTGACACTCACTTTGCTTGTAAAAGAAGCAATATCGCTAGCCTTGGAGACTAAATGTCAGAAATTCATAAATCCACAACACAGGGTAGTAGTAGAAACAGTGCTTTTGTGATACCCATATAATTTGTCCTAAAACTGTCCCACAGGTTTGCTTCTCTTCTATGCCCATGATGTCCCTGTCTTTGCTATCAGGTTTGTTACTAGCAGCACATAAAGCAGTGGCTTCTCTACTAGAGACTAAACTGAGATCTACGAACATGCCCCCACACAGGTTGCAATCTGCTTTTGACAACAACTGAGTCATAACAATCCACACTGCTGACACACAGGTGAGGGAGCCTTTGCAATTAAATCCCAGTCATTAGCATCCCCACTGCTGGAGCCATTTAGTCTCAGCACTGCGGAAGAAAATGAGGAAACAAAAGGGTACCAGGAGAGACTACCTGCTCCATCTATCTCTCTAACAGTAATGTAGAGTGTCACTTGCTCCTGAGCTATTCCAGATGACCTGAAATGCATTGAGGAGGATATCAACATTAATTCTGCACTAGTATTCTGACAATTGACTGTATGCCTGCACACAGTTTATTTGGACTGTTTCTATTTCATTATTTAAAAAAATACCTTGGAACATAACAATAGCTACTGCAGAAGAGCCAACATGAAAGGCAAAAGGATTGCTTATCAACCACAGAACCTTGCTGATTTGAAACCTGGATTTTAAATGTATATGCACCAGTTCACTAAGACTTTCAATGAGAAAGAATTGTGGGGACCACTACGGTGGAGAAAGATGCAGGTCAAGAGGCATCTCCTTCTGCCCTGACTCCTGTAGCCTGCTCATAGATAAGCCAGCCTCTTTTCTTATCCTCTGGTTCTCACTGAGCCCCACAGAAGAGTTTGGAGGCAGCCATCATTGTCCTCTCTCTTCTGCTTTCTCTCACCCACGAAGCAGACACCTGCACTGGGACAGACAGCTACACTTCTGATCTGGACCTGTCAAGTAATCAAATTTCACTTCCCAAACATTCTAAGCTTTCCCAAAGCTTATTTTCCATCTAGAAAAAAGGCACAGTTTGGTCAACTTGGCTGCAAGGGTAAACCCTCTTGATTATTGCAGTCAGATTTTCTTGACATTAAATGCTACGTAAACCCAAGTTTGAGAACAACAGAAATTACTCAGGAAGTGCTTAGTAGCAAAGGTGAAGAAGAAAGGAATGAATGTTTTTTAAGAATTTAGTGAGTAGCAAGCAGCAGACTGTTTTATCTTGGTATGGTTTATTTTGGGATTTTTTCTTCTTAGGAAACACCTGAACCAGATTGATTCCTCTTAACCTGTCTTGAGAAGCTGAAAGACTGACGTCCAACAAGTTATTCCTGTTTAAACCAACCAAGCTTTAAATTTGCTGTCTCTCCTTCCTCCTAATAGTTGGTGATTGGATACCACATCCTGGGAAATCCTACTGTTCACCAGATATTTGTGACTCCTCCTCCTCCTCCTAGAGAAAAGTAAAATTGTAGCATGTATTAAGATGTGAACATCTCTCTGAGATGGACTGAAAGGGCAAGGCAGATGGGATCCTCACATGTGCAGTTTTTCTAAGTGAATTTTTAAAGCCTATGGGTCATATGGCAACCTTCCTCACTCCATCCTAACACGGTACTTCTACTTTGATTCAGAAGTGCCCCCTCCAGGAGCCAGAAAGGCCAGATGTCACTCCTTTCCCACTCCATTTTTTGCTTGTCTACTAAGACAGCAGATGAAGGAGAGCTCTTTATTATACTGGCAACTACTGTTCACTTGGAATTGGAAGGAAACCCACAGCTCTTCTCAATATCAGATAGCCACTCAGTGCCAATTGGAGATACATTTCATTGGTAAACCAGGAATTTATTGCCATTATTAAGTTATGGGAGCTCAGTTCATACTGATAATTCTCTACAATTAATATATAATACAGGACATGTTGCCTATAGGATACTTTGTGAAGGTGTTTATTAAGGTAGTCTGTGGGAAAACTTACTAGTGTAGCCAATGTGACCACTGAGGTCCCAGGGCTCTAACTGCCTCTATAGATATTCCATTCAAAATAAGTAGTCGGGGGGGGGGGGGGGGAGGGTGTTTAGCTTATGTCATTTTGAAAGTGAAACAGATTAAGCCAGAAAAAGAGTGTTCTAGTTTGGAATAAGACTATCCATATAGTATGCATCGGACGATTTAATTTTACCTGTTCCAGTTTCCCCCATTGAAACCACCTTTAAATGGGACTAAACCCTGTGTGCTGCTGAGCCATCAGTTTCTGGTCTCTCTCAAATCTTCAGTCTACTGTGTGGTTTCATGACTGAGAAGTTAGGATTATATGAGCATTATGATTGTTTCTATAGGAGCTTAAGACCATAGTGAGTGAGTAGACCTTACACCCAAACTTTGTCTTAATTGTTGTTACAGCGCTACAAATGCATACGTTTGACAAAATCATTAACTACTGCAACAATCATTAGCACTAAAATACATAAAATTATCCTTATAACAAATTAGCATGTGAATTTGCTTGTGCTTGAGAGGCCATTCTGCAAAGCTGCATGTGAGTTCACCTCACTGTATGTACCTTGCTTTTAGAAGCATGTCCCATGATCCCTTAAGCTGCAGTAAATTCAGCTGCTCTGTTATTTCTTACCCTTTGCAAGAGCTTACATATCTGTAGCTCTCTGTCCCAGCTGGTTTGGACACCTCTTCATGGCAAAATGGGAAGTGGGCAGCCCAGATGAAGAGTTTCTCTTGGGATTTAATCTATTGCTCTTGACAGACAGCATAACTATCAGGTGAAAGGATTTTGTAAGGAGTATCTGAATGAAAGCTTGACTCAGCTGTGAAGCAGATATATTTTTAGGGCTCTGCATTAAACCCACCAGGGTTTAATGAGTTGCTACAGGACAGCTAAGTAAGTGTCAAGCTAAACTTTTAAAGGTACTGTAATCTGAAGTATTCCTTTAAATCTCTTTTTCTGAAGATAAAACAAACATCCTTGTTTTCATTTGCTCTGAGAGAGCCATATACACATGGTTACTGCTGATAACATTACAGGTCGCAGGATGAGCTGTTTCCTGAGCCGTGAAATTTTCACAGTGTGAACCAGCATCAAAGCCCATAGCGCTAAGGGCTTCCTCCCCATAAAGTTTTAAAATGTCACATAGTTGTATTTGGCTATTGCAATAGTTCCACTGAACCCTGAATATTGTGTAGAAAATGTAGAGATTAGAAAGCAAGTTACTTGGTCATGGTTTTCTTGAGTGTTCAGCAAGTTTCTCAGGAACTGTGGGATTCTCAATCAAAAAGCATTTAATCTAGTGTCACTGAGAAAAATACTAATTCATTGCACTTCTGAAGTGCCTCTCATCTAAAGATAGAAAAGCTTTTTCACAAACACTGCTGACTCACACTGCCCCTAGGAGATATGTGCTATTACTATCATTTTACATAAGATAAAACTGTAGCACTGATATATTTATTTAAGTCTGTACCTGGGCAAAGAGCCCCACTTCATGCATACAGTGAGCAGACAGACACAAGCAATAATTCTCCAGTTTCTTTTCTGATACTTCTTTTACTTCTTATTACTTATACATATATATATAAATGTATATAGAACTTTGGAGAACATAAACCATGGTAAGTAACATCACTACATATTGCACGATATAATAATTATGGCACTAGGTTGTATATATAAGTTGTTTGCTGGACAAAATCCATCAATTCTTACAGCTTTTGTAACAGAACCTAAGAAGTAGGGATAGGAAATCGGAATGGTATTTAACATGTCACAAGACATTTCCAATATCTGCATTTCTAATGATATTTTGTAGTACAAATATAGAGGAAATATTCTGTGTTACAATGAATCGTCCAACTGATACTAAGTCAAATCAAGCAACCAACTCCCAAGGAAGGATCTAGAAATCAAGAAGCTTGAAAGAGAAACTTGCAACAACTTAAGTCTGAGGGTCTACATATTTGCATATGAGGGCTTCATTACTGATCCCAGATTCTAGGTCTTTAGGTGAGGCAGTGCAAGCAAGAGAGTCTTCAAATAGAAAAAATACATATATATATACATGGGTGTGCACTTGAACCTTCTTTTTCCTAGAAGGAACAGTGCAAATAGATTCCAACTCAAAGCAAACCTAAGATATGCACATGAAGTTCTCTAGACTTAGATCCATGTTGCTGTAATCAAGTTGCAGTTCCTGAATCCAGATGCTTTGCATTTGTGGTCTGGCATAGGCCTTTCTCACAGAGAGAAGACTAAAAGAATTTCCAACAAAACAAAGAAATCCTTGCATTCCAAATTGTGGATTTTCCTAAGCTCTACTGTTCTTTGTTGAGTTTTTTTGTGTTTATTTTGAAAACTGTATTGTAGCAACTCTACTCACCACTGCTAACTGAGGAGGCTGACTTTTGCCTTTCTCACTCACACAGCTGGGGACTGAAGGATTCTTCTTCCTCCTAGTTCCTGCATACAGAGTGCCTGTTGATGACAACAGTCATTATTTCCACATACCTACTTTTAAAAGAAAGTTGGTTTAGGAAACAAGAATGCTAACAACAAAAGCTCTCTGTTTCTTCTGACTCTATGGAAGAACATTTTAAATAAAGCCACATTGGGATAAATATACAATCGCATGCAAGGTCACTAGCTGTCACTAAGATACCTTTACTTTAAAGAATCAAGCTCTCTCTTGCAGACTTTCAGTTGATTGGATATTAGCAAGCATTCGTTGGCCAAAATCACAGTTGTGCTGGCTGTCCATGAACAACATGTACTTTTCCAAAACCTTAGCAGCCTCTGAATGGAGATCACGTCATTTTCCTCCCCACTGTCACTTTCCCTTTAGTTGATGCTGTCAGACTATCTGACTTAATCCATCTCCACAAGTTTCACTGCAAAAATCATTGTCTTTGGCTCCCTGTTTTTGCTGCCTGCAGTTCTCCATAAATTCCTGACAGGGAGGGAACAAACTTTTTCACTCCTTGACCTTGGATATTTGTCAGTTCCTTGAGCTGTGTTCAACCCTAATCTCAGCCTTGAACATACTTTTACCATGGAATCAGCTTTTAAATGACTCCACATTTCTACTGACATGAACACCACCTTTAAGCAAGTTCACTTGGAGATTTCATAAGGGCTGCGTATTGTTATTACATGAGAGCAATTTTCAGAGGTGAATCTCCGGACTTCATTCTTTCACTCCATTATGTGACTCGGTCACAGACTGTATGTTGTAATGGGTGACAAGAAGATAAAGGGTCATCCTTAGTCATGGTTTCGTGAAGGTCAGGTTGTTCTGCCAAAATTATCTGGGAGAGAATTGCTTTTTCACAGGCCAACCTGACACTTGCTACCACAGTTTTTCCGTAGCAATAAGCTTGCAAAAGAAGCAAAGGGCAGTAAATGTACTTTTCATCCAGACACCTCTGCTTAGCAGTATTCACATCTCAAAGGCACTGCAGCTCTCCAGATTTTCCTTTCAGTGGCAACTGGAGCTTAAGAGTGCCAAATGTATTAGCACATCTCAGCGTGGTGACAACATTTTGTCTGGTAGGTGATGCTAATGACCACCAAGCAAGCTGGCTCTACTGACTTTCTGAGGCAGTTCACAGGACAGCCTGCTTCATACATCCTACTGTTACCTCTGGTTAGCCAAATCAAAAGTAGCAGAGGTATTTGGATTTCCTAAATTCTTAAGAAAGCCTCTTACCAAGGTGCTCTCTCTCAACAAACCATTGCTAAATCTTCCGTTTTTTTCAGTGACACTGAATTATTCATAATGTAATGTATTTGACCGTGATAGAAGGAAGTGAATTGAAAGAGCTGTGCTTGTTTATATTGTCTGAAGATGTTGGCAATAATCTTGCACAATTTCCATATTTGGCCACAAAGAATTATTATTCATCCCCTTGATTTTCCCAGGTTTTTCCCTCGGAAACAGGTCAGAATGATCTGGTTTGTTTTGTTTTTCATGGAACACTGAAAGTACACAGATGCACATTACATAAGTGTTTTTTAAGCAGTAAACAACAAATAGCTAAGCAAATAATTTTGACAGACTAGCATCCTTCCTGCCAGGTAGGGAAACACAAACAGGTCAAAAAGTATCAAGGCTGAGAAAGCAGGGATAAAGAAACCAGAATTACTGTGTTTCTCGTAAAATGATGGTACAGCATTTGGTACCTAATAAACAAAGCCAGGGTATTTTGATAGATTTCTGTCACCAGAATGGTGTCCTTTACTGGACCATCCTTTTCCTTAGCACTGCAGAACCTTGGAATTCCAGGTAATTAATCTGCACCCAGTGAGAAGCTGAAAAATTATTTTAGGGTTTTGAAGGCTACAGAAGAACTTAAGCTGGCACAGGGCACAAACACACTCAAAGCTGTAGACTACTGGAGCACTTGACTGTCAGCCAGCATGAGTGAGGAAACAGATGCTTTGCTTTCTGTCTTATTAATGATAGGAACAGTTAATTGACCTGCACTAGTCAATTGAAATACTGGAGAAAGCAGCTGACTTAGTCTCTTACCATGGGATATCACTGTAATATCTTGATTGACCTCTTGCTACTCAGAAAGTAGCATCTGTGTGCTTGTACATCACTTATGTTATTGCCAAGAATATGTCCTCCTCCTAAGGCAAAAGAGAAGAATCTGCAGACATTTCTCACTGCTCACTGAAAATTACATAGGCAGCCCCACAGACAATGGAATCCCTTGGGACAGGACAAAAGAACAAATCCATCATGGTGTAAGTGCATCTCATCTCACTCAACTCTTCAGTTTCTGGGACAAAAACCATCAGAACCAGCGGGGGAACAGAAAGCTAGCAGGCTTGATCAACCTGCTAGAGAAGATGGTGATAGGATTCGGCTCCTTTTCACTGAAATTGTACTAAATATGTTCCTTGTCTGCAGGTTCAATTTGCCACTGAAAGCTTAATTAGCTTTCCTCAGCAACAGGAAACATTCTGATTGACAAAACTCGCTGGTTTTGGCTGAGGCTTCAAAGTGCTTACTTCACAAATACATTCCACTGTTATTTTTAAACGCCTTCCAAAATTCACAGCTGAGCATTTTGATTCAGAGTGAAATTCATCATCAACAACAGAGAAACGCCATCACCAGTAATGCATTTCTGAGGGAAATGTGAGGTAGAAGCCCAGCTCGAACTTTGTGACCTATGAAAGCAGCAGTTTTTCCCCTCTTATCTTTCTGTCCAAGAAGAAAATGGGGCTACTTGAGTGAAAAGGAAACCAAACAGTCAGCTCAACAGCTAAAGACTATGAATTAAAGACAGTGAGAAACGAAGCTTTTTGTAGGTAACTTGCAAGGTCTTTTGTTGTCAGCACCAAAGAAAACTGTTCAGAAGGGCCTCGGGAGGGACTTATAAGGCAAAAGAGGACAAATGGTAAGGTGTCAGTTAAAATTTTATATGGATGGGTATGTGCTGAAAAGAACAGCTACCATACACCCTACCATCATCTTTTCAACTGCAACAACTCAAGAGTAAAGTGACAGGAGTCACTGGAACCGGGTAGTGGAAATCCTGTTCTCTAGCAGCTGTAAAGGTAAAATGCTGAGCTGATTGAGGAGGGGAGAGGTAAAGAGCTGTCAAAACACCATTATGCCATTAAACACACTTTGTTTTCTACTGAAATATGGTGGACTGCTGCTACTAACATCCCTCAAAACAGATACTGAAAGGATAATGTTTTATTATTATAGAGGAGAGCTAGGAGCTAGAAAGGATACAACGGGTGTATGAGAAACTAAATACTTTAAGCTAATAGGCAAATACCATCAAACGGTATCCTCTGTGAGGCCCATCTCTGCAGTTTTGATTGGGCCTTTGTGCTTCTGAAATATGAGCATATTCTGAGCTGATAGTCCAGTAAAATTAAGTATCTAAGAGGGAAATGCAAAAATATTTGAATCACCAACTCAGTTCAAAGGCATTGACCTAACTGTGCTGTGTTATGGCATCAGGAAAATAACTAACCATACTTAAAGATAATAGTGATTAAAAATGTGCTTGCAGAGGAAAACAAGTTAGCAATACTGATTTCTGCAAGTCTTGCTATTATGAAGCATTTAAGAGCATGTTGAAGAGCCCTTAATGAATAAGGAAGCTTTCTTTCACCAGGATCTAAGCAAAACTGCATTTATGCATATGACTCTGGACCCCAGTGTTCATGTCAGTTATAAGGCTGCTAGTTAAGAATTTTTAAGAAGGAAAGAAAAATCACAAAGGGAAAAAGAAAGTAGTCATACATTTCAAAATCGTTAGTCCATCATCTGTTTGAAAGTCATCATTGCACCACCATCAGTAGTAATGTCTAATGGCATAGTTATAGAAATCTGATTAAAGCACTTGTAATTTTTGTGCTGTAATAAAATAAAAATGATGCTTACATCTCTAAATTAATTTCTGGAAAAATCTGGCAGTAATACATACCACGCATGAATATTTATCAGAGGAAAACAATGGTAATACTCTTAATTTTTAACCTGAGATCTTGGATATTGTTAGCTTTCCTGGCAGTATTAAGAGGAATAATTTCATGATTCAGTTGTGAAAAGATCTGCAAATGAGCCATAAGTAAATAAAGTTGAATTATTTTTTTGCAAAGATCTGAGAAAGAGAGACTGAGGGTATGCAGGTTGCATGTGAAAACCTACAAAACCCAGATATATTTAATATGTGACAGACCACCTTGCTTTGAGTTCTGCCTTCAGAGCTCCCACACTCAGGAATTAAGTCTACAAGCAGGCACTCTCTACCTGCCTGCATCCCTGTGCCCTGGAACAACGTGACTGCATTACAGTCTCAGGAGCTGGTTTGGTTTGGTTTCATACTGATTGCTTCACTGGAAAACATTTTAGTCTTAACGGCTGTTTGCAAGGAAAAAAAAAAATTAATCTTGAAACCAAATTAGCTTGTGACAGAATATGGGAATATAGCCAAGAGGACTGCATGCAGGTCACCCATATCATAGCAGCAAACTCCCTTTAGCTTGGGAAAAGCCCTGAGGGATGTTCTGCATGTGTCCATAGCACTTTGGGTTCAAAAAGGAGCATACCCGTGGAGTGGAGATGCCACTTCCCTCACTGGCTGTACTCAAGTTCACATCACAGACCACTGTCAAGTGCACAATGGCTTGCTCTTGAATGAAACTGAGCCAGAAGATGTCCTCTGGAGACATTCCTCAAGAACTCTAGATATTAAGCAGGAATTCAGACAGAAACCACCTTGTGCAGTCCAGTGGTGAGCATGAGTGGGCTACACAGCAGCCTAGGAAGTTTCATTCCTACACCATCCAGGGGTAGGTGCCCCTCATAGCCTGTTGAATCTGTCTAGAGCTGGGACAAAATAAGTCGCCCTTGAAATATGTACAGGGTGGATGCCAGGTTTGCAGCATCAAGGGGTGTGCTCTATAGACTTGTTCCTATTTGTCTGCAGCATTTGCTCATCTTAACACAACCTCTGATGTCACCAGCATCGCCAGGTGGCAGGTGCCAATTCCCATTCTGTCACAAGCTTTTCCCTGTCCAGGAAGCTAGCAGAACAGATATGGGAGCCCCAGCTCTGCAGAATACCAGAGCAACACAGAATGAGACAAACTAAGTTTGAGTAAATTAGACAAATCAGGATTATACAAAATAGACACCTGGTAGCTCACGCTACCAGTGATTAAGACAGAGCAGGAAACAAACCATGAAATGAGGTCTATTACAACTGGCTTCACCAGGTTTTAATCTTCTTTGTCTGGATATAAGAGTTGAGAAGGATCTTCCTGACTGCCCTCACTGGTTGTAGGATTACTGTTTAGGTGTGTAAAGCTAATCAGGTGCATTAATGCTGGGTCAAGCTGAAAGGTTTTCCCTAGGCTGGAACTCCTAGAAATGGGGAAAATCTCCTGACAGCTGTGTAGTCACATATCTACACCAGTCACAGGGCCACCTCCTTAGTGTATATAAATAATTTAACTAGTCTTTGTTCACTAAACAAAGAATGAGTGTTTCAAAGCTGTCTTCAGAAGCTGGATACCTAGTTCCTTTAAAATTAATGGCAGCTGAGTACTTAAAACTTTCCAGTGATTTAAAATGCTAGGTAGAGTAATGAGCACATCTGGATCATTAAAGCTCCTTTTCATTTACATATTCAACCTAAGCTTTTCTGTGTTTCACTTGGTCCTATTCCTTCTAGTTCTGTTTCCTGGATCTAAGACTGTTTTCTCTCCTGCTGTGATGGTTGAACCCCCTTGCATGACAGTCACCTTGCTTGTCTAACACAAATTTAGCTCTTTTCAATCTTCCTGAGCCAATCTCTTCAGATGCTTTTTCACCCTGTCATCTTCTCCTGAAGTCTTTGCAGCGTGTCCACAGCTTTCTGGGTTTGATGTACCCAAATTACACACTGGCTTTCTCACCACTGCCTAATTAACAATTCACAGGCAGTATAAGAGTCTCTTACTGATTCTTATTTAATTTTCTAAACACATCAGTATTAGTAACAATAGCCTCCTCACAGCTTACTGACACATGCAGCTCTATAGAACTTCCAGGGGGAGTGAAAGACAATCCACTGGGGTGCGAGAAGAAAATATTTTTGTAATATTAATAAACAGAATTAAATTTCAAAGTACTTTTAAAATAGGTTTAAAAAATCTTTATCACATCCTTTTAAATTTCTATTGATGTGTATGCTTTACAATATACATAATGTATTATTGCAGGCATAAATGTATATAATTTACACATAAATAAAAGTACATACGTTGTTACTGGAATGGGCGTACAATTTAAGTTTAGAGAACTGCTGGTACAGAAGTAAGAGGTGGTAACATGCATGTATTTTAAGTCTTAAGCTATCCGTGTCAGAAAGTCCACCCCGTTGCCCCTGTGCATGCTACAGCACATACCACATCTGCTGTTGAACTCACCTGGCACGGGGTCAGGCCTTGATGGCTGACATCGGGACTGCCTGCACAAGCTGCTGCCATCATTCCCCATGGTTAATGGTCTACCCAGGGAAAAGTGAGGGTGTGCAGGAGTGTTTGGGCTTTGGCACCAGGCACTCTGATTAGGGAAAAGGGATGCAAAGGTCTTTTTATCCCTGTAAACAGAAATTCAATTAAGTTTACTGTATTTCACAAATGTAGCACATGCACGTATGTGCACAGGATATAAAAAACAAGTATATTCTATCTACTACTGCATTATTTATTGTATTGCATTAGCATATTTATTATTGTATTTTGCCTAGGTTTACCATGTTTAATGCGCACATACATTACATTTATGTGATATATCTAACAAACAGCAAACATAGATTTGACACATTCTGCATTTAGCTGTAGGTGGAAAAAATGCAACTTCTGTATTGTTTGACATATGCATTATAATTTATCAGTTGCCTTTGGTTGTAATTCTGCCATCCTTGAACTCTTTGCACTGAATTTTTTCATCATTTCTCCCTGCTTCTGACTTAGGTTCTTTGGCATGTTTGAGCAAAAGTTATTTAGCCATTTTTGATACAAAGCTTGGGAAGAACAGCCAGTTCAACCTACGCTGGAAACTGTTCATCTTCTGAATATCTCCAGCCACAGTCTGGAGAAGAAATTTAGAGAAGAACAATTGCCCCAAACACAAGAAGGTTCACCCACTTTTTTTTTGTGAAAAATATATCCAGATTGGTCAATCCTTTATTTCTGAAATACATGTTTTTCTGTTGTGAACCTGGCTTAAAAGCCCCTGGAACCAGTATTCTGGAAGGGACTTAGAAAAAAAAAATCAGTATTGCATTCCTCATTTAAAACCATTGAATGACTCAGCTCAGGGGTTCCTGTCTGAGACCTGGGTGCCCAAACTCAGATGCAGAAGCTAAAGCAATGAACACAATTTTTCATAGCAATGGTTGTAAGTCCCTAGCCCAGTTCAGAGTGCAATGACCTGAGAGAAGACAGAGTTCAGGCCCATCCTTCTCAAGACAAAGGAAAAGAGTTCTCCAACTTTAACAGTTTTGCTGAAAGCTTTCCAAGTTTTGGTCTCCAAGTGGTGCCAGCCAAACACTTGGGACTCAAAGGATAATACATAATAATAAAGTCATATTTTAAGAAGAATTTTATCTTCTGCTTAGTCTTGATTGACAATGAATGCACTGCTCTCAGAAGCTTTGGTCTGGATTCCTGTTTGAAGGTTAAGATTAATTCCAATTTTTAAAATTCCCCAGCTTTTCAGGATTTGCTTACCAAGATGCTCATTTAAAACCGTTTACTGACAGAGCCAGTCTGGCACAATGCTGCTATTAGAGTACATACAGTAAATGTCAGATACCTTTTGATGAAGTTTGGTCTTTTTTTACTTGTTTGCCATGGGTCAGCCATGTTCCACCCTGTATCAGTTCTTGTAGATTCCTGTTCCTTTTCATATTGCTCTCTTGTCGTAGAGAAAGTTGGTATAACAATGTTCTCAGGTTCTTCACTTTCCCCTGTAGCCATCAGTTCTTGCCTGGTGGTCCAGTAGAGAGGAGTGTACCAAGCAACAGCCTGATAAAAACCCCACCAACATATCACTGCTTATTTATATTCTACATCTTTTCATCAAGATAATCGTTTGTTGTAGACAAACTAGAAGGGCAGAAAGGGTAGGCACTCCTATGTATTTCAGAGTTATTTATCATTAGAAAGATAAATACTAATCACAACCACCAAATTCCAGCTTTTTTTCATTGCTCTTTAAAATCCATTTCCAGTCTTTAAACATACTTGGGTTAGATTCATCTAAGAGCCTTGAAATTCCACTGCTTCAATTCAGTAAATGAAACAAAAAAAAAGAGAGAAAAGAGGACAATTCTCCAAGTATGTCAAAGGCTGCTGAAGGAAGAAAAAGCAAACTGCTCTTCATGTCCACAGTGGATAGGACAAGAAGAAATGGACTAAACCTGAGGCAGAAAAAGTTCAGTTTAGGCACTAGCAAAGCTTTTCTGAGCATGGAGAGAGTGAGGCACTAAAGCATATTGCCTGTGGACATAGTGGAGTCTCCATTACTGAAAGTCTTGCAGAACTACCTAAGTAGCCACAGCCAGAAGCAATCCTGGCAGAGGTAATCACATCTCAAGTTCCCTTTCAGCCTCTGACTCCGTGATACTGATGTGATAGCAGGTATAGCCAAACTGAGCTAGAAGAGGAGTAAATGTGAAAAGGTGACACCAAAAGTCAGTGTTCACTTAACAGTTTGTAAGGGGTAAATTATGCTACCTTGGGGAAGCTGTGTATCTTACACTGTTTATGAAAGTCACAGGTCTTTTCCATATTGTCAGTAGTGTGAGTTTGTCTAGACAAAAACTGCCAAAAACCATAGTTGCCACTGGACAACTATAGAGTAAAAAATTATCTTGGACTCCCTCTCATCCCCAAGTCAACACAAGTTTGCCTAAAAATATTCAACACGGTTGCCAAGCTGATGAGAGTTACTAATGAGCAGCCATGGGCTGAATAGCCCTGGGCATAGCTGGATCTTTCATGGCTGTAACACATGGAAAAGGACAGTGGGCTGGCAATTCACACTGCTTCAATTGCTGTGAGGATGTTAGCCTTTCATTCAACAAGAGGTGTTTTTCCTCAGTTCCTAATAATTAACATCCACAGAGGCAAGGTTAACATAGAGAGATCACAGCTTTGCTATGTCTGGATTGCTTGTGCTTGATTCTACAAGGACTTTAACAATATGATCCTAAATCTCTGAAAGAAGTCCAGTGATACAGCTGTTTGGGTAAGGAAATGCAGTGATTTTGCTCACTTGGCCACTAGGCTCACAGAGAATGGTAGTACAGTCAAGGCTTGTCCTAAATCTCTCCAGGTCCTTCCAAAGAAGATCCGAGGGAAATCTGTGAATCACCATAGCGTCTGCTGCCCACACCTGCAAAGAACAAGCAGCCATTAGGTTGAAGACAAAATGGCTCCTGAATATTTATACAACATAGAAGGTAGTAAAAACATGAGGTTTTACTTTTTCTTTTTTATTTCTGTAACACTGGTCACTATTTGATCTGTGAAATCAAAGCTGAAAGAACTGTATTTCAAGACTTGCAGCTTAGTTATAGTGATTATTTTCAAGTACCTCTCCTGCGGATTAACAGAGATTAGCAAAGGCACATTTTTCAAGGTGTGCTAGTAAATCCTGGGCTTTTTGGTCTGGCTTGCTGAGAGTAAGATTAAAAGTAGGCAGTTTCTTTTATTTTCTGAATTACCAGGGGCATTGGAAGAGATCTGTGATATCAGCTTTAAAATTCCAGTCTCTGCTTGATTTTGGATTCCCTCTGTTCATTTTCAATTCCCTCTTGTCTCTACTGGAGACAAGAAATTTTATGTACTTTTATCTTTATACAAAAGATTTAACAACACTGTGCTTTATAAAGTGAACACAATTATCTGTGACCTTTATCACTAACACAGTAGCAAAAGGACCCGTTATGAAAACATTTCTCTTACATAAGACGACCACAACAAGCTTTTGCAAACACTAAAGGATTTAGCAGTTGCCATCTGTGAGAAAATGCCTTCAACCATTTCCTGGGAGCCAAACCAATTATCATTCAATTTTAAAGGAGAAGTATCTAAAAAAAATATAGAAAATGCCCTCTTCAAAAAATGCTCACCATACGGCACTTTGCTAAGGTGTATTTTGTGGCTTTTTCACACATACATCAGACGACACAATTGACTGTAGCTCTTTTGAGGCACTGCCAGCTTGCATTTCCAGCTTTCTTGTAAGAGGGCTCACACAATGCTACATTGGCCCGTGCTGAGCTTGGTGATGAATATGGACTCTGCCTCCTTTTGTTTTGAGATGCCTCAGTTTTCATTTCAAGAAAAGAAAGAAGACTGGTGGTAAAAGAGGCTTCAGACCATATTCCAAGCATCCACACAGGCATCTAACTTGAGCATTTTGCCTCGATTCATCTGTTGCTCTCACGGGGAGCTGGGGCCTGGAAGTCCTCCCTGGCTATCAGACACAGACACTATTGTACATGAATTTTAGATGCAAGAGTTGTCAGCACAAATACAACCCTTTGAAATTAACAGAAAGGCAGAAATTTTCTGCTTGTGTATGCTGAAATAGAAGCTGTGGTGGACCTTCTACCTTCGTCTTTTACCTTGTTCACCCCAAAGCCCTTTAATTATAACGGGAACAACAACCTTGTCAATGACTTCAGTGCTGATCAGAGCATTTCAGAAAGGTCTGCCTTTGCGTGGCACAAAAGCCAACTAAGGGGAAAACATTTCTGGGGAGATCTGCGAAGTATCTTGCAGCCAGCCAAGCAGTCTGCATCTTTACCCAGTACAGCAACAGCTGTGCCCTCTCTGAGTGCGGGTACATCCCAGAGGTTGCTGGAGTTTGCGTGCAGACGCCAGCAGACATTCCTCAGCTACACCTACAACTGAGCCTTGGTCACATTTAGTTCATGTGTCCAAACCTTTTTCATTACCATGGATATCAGATGCTTATATTTGTTATTATCTATTTAAATCTTTTCTGGGGTACAATGAAGACATCTGACTCTTTGCATCTTAGATCCTACCTACCTCTCTAACTCTTATTCAAACAGGCAAAAAGATACATCTGAACTAGCTGGAGGGGAAGCAATCTCTGAAGAGCAGCAGCCCATGCACTGAATTTTTAACGTATGGTTCTGGCACAACATCAAAGGAGTGCACATCATCTTCATTTTACAGAATAGGAAATGAAGGCACAGAGTCTCATCATTCTGCCTAAAGTCATCCAAGGCAAAGCCAGGACCAGAGCCCCATTGCCAGAACAGTGGTTTATGGCTTTCTCTGCTGGATAACCGCTGTCCTCAAGTGGTGGGCACAGTCTGGAAGGCAGCATCACTTTTCTCTTTTATTTTCACTTCAGGCCATGCTGTAGTGGTACCTCAGACTGTACACAAAACTGTATTAATTGCTTCAGTAACAACACATAAACTCATTTCCTTTCAGGTTCTATTATTTGTAGGTTTCCGATACAAGGTTCACACCCTTCATTGGCAAACACTAGCACAACTCAATATTCTGGCAGTAGGGTGGTGAGCCTTTTAGAGAAACAGTGACTGGAAAAAGTAATGTATCAAACAAGGACTTCCTAGGATAGCTTCCCATTGCTAGACAACATGAAATATGTGATGAATCATGAGAATGCCAGGCCTGTACTGATGATCAACATCAGGAGCTTCTGAATTCATCTTTATTTGTGAATGTTAGCCTTTCTGAAAATACAGACTTAAGTTTGACTCTATACCATGAGGCTAAGAGTGTACCCTAGTCTGTCAGCTGGGAAAAGGCACTCAAAGCTCTCACACTCACTGTCACGGTGGAGTTGGGCTCCATCCTGATCTCAGAGGGAAACCTAAATACAGCTACTGGTTGACCTTTGATGTCTTGCTTCAAGAGATAACCCCCAATGTTCTCATCTTCCTCAGTGGCATGGTTCCGGATCTTTACAAAGCATCCACCTTGATCAACTTCAGCAATTTTCAAGTTTCCAATAGCACTGAAAGAACAGAAGTTGATTTGAAAGCATAAAAGCATTGCTTAATTGAAAATATACATATATTTCCTCATAACAACTAGCCTAGATGTCAGTAATTAATGGTAAGTAAATATACCACAGGCAGAATATTTACAGCACTGCCATTCTACTTTTTATGCAGTGCCCTTCATCTGAAAAAAAAATAAAAACCCATTTGCATGAAAATCAGAATATTCTGTTTCTTTTTCACATTTAGGTAACATCCTTTGCCAACAGAAATAAAAAGATTCTTCGTGGGGCAAAAGTCATCAGTATACCATTTGAATTTGGTTTTGTCTAAATCTTTATAGGCTACAACCTCTAAGACTGCCTTGGGTATTTAGCCTGGTATGATTAGTAGGAGTTGTGTGGCTGACCCTCTTTGAAAGCTTAGAAAATGCATCTCATCCATCAATATGTTTTTCTCCTCCTGCCTCTCATTGTTTTTTCTTTAGTGGAGACAGTTATTCATTATTAACACTTTTTTATTAACTCAGAGGCCCCGTGCTACAAGACTGAGATTTCATCCCTCCCCAGTTTCAGGATCACAGCAAAGCAGGCTCTGGTTTGCATCTGCAGTAAGATCGGGGACTTCCTGTGAGCAGAGGAGCACTCAATCTCCCTTAAGCACTGGAAAATAAATTTATCACTTGAGTGTTCCTTTAAGTGGTGCCCATGTCAAGGGATCACTTGTAAACACTCAGTCCCAGACTGTAATACTCATCATAGGTCTTATTAGACAGGATAGGAACAAAGTCTAAGAATCATTCGGCTTTTGGTGCAGCATCTACCACAATAAATGTAATTGTTTAGCACTGGTGCAGTGTCCTGTCTGTCTTCTGTGAACGTAGTGCATTTGCCCTTGCCATGCTCATCTTGTTCTAGTAAGTTTAAATCATAGATCTCTGTGTGTATAGTAAAGGTTGACCCAACAGCGCAGACAGCCTATGTGCTTCATTAACATAGCCAAATCCTCATTCACAATGTGACAAATACTGCCCACCCACTCCAAATAATTCAGCTGCGTGGTGTAGCAGTGAGTCACACTTGCTCACGACAGCCAGGCTGCCTCCAGGCTGCTGCTGGCATTGACAGATTTGGAAGCAGAGCCGCAGGGAACTGCCTCCTCCGTGGCCATAGATGACATGGATATTGAACGCAACACTTGGCTGCTTCTCCTTTGCCTTCCTGCAAACTTTGGGAACTCTAGAGCATCCGTCCTACCACTCCATCATGGTCTATTTGTGCTTCGCATCAGCAGGGACAGACCTGGAGACAGCTCACCAGAGATGCAGAGCCTTACAGGGGCTTTGACAGTGCAGCCAGGCTGAGGGGCTCCTTGACTTCAGACTCCCCTCTTCTTCTGGCTGCTTGCTTTCATCTGTCTGCCTCAGTTTGGCATGTTTCTCCTTCCTCCCTTCTCTTAGGACCACACTAAGCTGGACTGCTGAAATAACCTGGCGTAAAAGGTTTTGTGGGGATGTTATTTTAACCTGAGTAGTTTTGGCAGTCTCTGCAAGCTGCTGCAGCAGTGCAGATGAGGGGAAGAAGCTTTGCAAATGCTGTGACTCAAACCCTGTATGCTTTCTTCATACATCGCTACAGTCCTGGAGCTCCAGCAGTGCCTTAGGACTCCACTGGGCTCTAAAAGCAGAATGACACCAGCAACAAAGAGAAATCCCTGATATTTTTACCCTCTGGAAAAATGTAGAGCCAGTTAAGTCAATGGGAGAGGGTTTTTGAACTGTACAGAAAGCAAAGAACTTCCAGCTTTCCCATTTTTCTCTGTCTGTGCAAGAAAAGTGAAAGAAAAGTTTGGATGCCAAAATGTATCTAGGAGGAGGACAGGAAAAAGTAGATGAGGAAAGACACCTCCTAAAGTGGCTTTAAAAGGCCATTTTATGATGTAACATTTTAAATAGCAGAATACTGGTTGATAAAGGAGCGAATAATGAGCGTCAAGTGTAGTGCAACTTTCCCTAAACAAGACCTCGGTTGAACCTACTGAAGCTGAGGAAACTTGGGAACATAAAATGGGGCTGACAGGAGGTTTTGATACAACACATAGGGCTGGTAAAGGAGCAAATGATGGGACATGGGAATTTGGTGTTGGGAGCTGCTGAAGCAAGCAGCACAGAGCTGCCAGCTTGTGCCTATGCAATCCCCTGCCTCACAGCCATGCTGGCTGCTGGAGAAGGTCAGATCCGAAGCTGCAAGAGTTAAACAGCACGGTCAGTTGAGCCATGACTGAAGGTGAATATGGCAAGAGCTGTTAGTGATAAAGAAGAATAAATGGGTTTGATCATCCTTCAATATCAAATGCTTCTGAATCAATTGGGCATGCTCCTGTGCCAGCTCAGTGAGCACAGTACTTTTGATGGGCATGGGACGTGAGCTCATCATCATGCAATTCTTCCAGGCATAAAAATACAGCCTTCTGCAGACAGCTCCCAGTACCTAGAAGAGCCTAGGAGGAGCTGTTAGCTCTTGATAATCCTGGTCTGGGTGGGTGGCTCTCTGGCATCTCCCTTTTGTTCCTGGGAGTAGCCATCCACCAGTCCCCTGACTCAGCCCAGGATTAACAGCAATATGTATTCTCTGCCCATACACCCCAAACAGAACCTCCAAGTCAAGAGCCCCCTTTCTTTTGTTGACACATTTAAATCTAAAAATTAAAAAGCTTAATTGACTTTGATTAAGTCAGTTTTTCATATGGGCATGGGGTCTGCACATAGCAAAAGAGAAGGAAGTGGAAGAAAGGAAGGAAAGCAGATAGGTCCACACCCAAAACCAAGGACCTTAACTCCACTCACCACAAACTTAAGAGTAGGTATAATTCTCCTCATGTTACTCCTAAGAGAAGGCAAAACTCTCTCACACAGGCATCCTCACACTCTTTCCTGCTGTTTTCCGCAGAGACTCCTATCTTCAGTCAGTCATCTTTGCTGTATGTGTCTTTAAATTGTAATTGGATAATCTCCCAGATTTTTGGGGACCCCTTTGCCAGAGAAATTCCTGGGGGTATAACTGCTATTTGATGAAATTCAGAGTGACTAAATTAACTAAAGGCTGACTAAAGATAAGATTCTTTCTTTGAACTGGAAATCCTATTTTACCAGCAACTATTTTTAAAGAACCCTGCAATAAAACATGTATGCTAGTGCCTTTATGTTCTAGTATAGTTTTTTTCTGCCAAACGAGACTCTGAATTTATGAACATCATGATCCATGTGAATGTCTCATTGGGAATTTGGACCTTAGCCTGTGCACGTACTACCCTTGACCTTAAAAATCCCAAATGAATAGGCACCATTTGAGCTAATTTCCCCAAACCCATTCGGTTTTTACTTTCCTCTCTAAATGTATGTGTAGCTCCTAGTCCCACATCAAAACCCTGTGCATAACAAGAGGGAAGGAGCTTGTGTGCAAAGTGAGACCTGCAGGATTTCTCTAAAAGCTTGTGTATGCAGCTAGCTGCTGGATGGCAACAGACTTTTGTGAGTTTAAATGAGGGAATAACTTCTCCAAGGAGATGTTCACTGAAGGCTTCAAAGCGTTTTTAGCAAGTTAGTTTACCTTTCAAATAGTGAACCAGTTCCTGTGAGACAGGAGCTAAAGTGCTAAAGAGTGTGTGGGAGAGGTTGGATTGTGTTGATGCTGTAGTTTCTGCTGCTACATCCTGACGTTCTCTGGTGGCACAGAATACAAAGTTTTCTGTAACATGCACAGCACTGCACGTTGCAGAGGGGAAAAAATGTCAGCGCTCTCAGTACCATAGGGTGCATCAGCCATGGGACCTACTACCTGCCATTAGAATGCCTTTTGAACTTGCTCCTCTCTGAGCTGACAGAGGTAGCAACAAGACATTTTTACTGTAAAACACACCATAAATTCAAGTCTTTCTGAGCTCCTAAGTCTTCAAGAAAGCCACAGGTTGATACTGCTATTGTGTTGGGAAAGGTTTATCTCCAGAAGTACAAATCTGTTTATTTGTATGCCAGCATATTTAACTGTACTGGAAGGACAGGACAGGAAAAGCCCTGGGAGAAGGCTCAGCTCGCTCTTTCTGAAAGGCTGTGAAATGTTGCATGCATAATAGCTATACACAACTGTAGGCCTGAAATGCCAAGGTTCAGCTGGGATCCCAAGTGCTTTACAGATCACGGCTTTAACTTAATTCACCCTTAGTATATAGCACATGCACTTAGTACAGAACAGATACTGATGATTTTCAATAGCCATGCACAAAATATCAAGTATCAGTTTCTATTTTTCCTGTTTTTTTGCAAAAGAGACACCCTGCAGATTTAATACTGCTCAGATGAGAAAGTCAGGGAAACATTCAGGGAACATTCTCATTGAACGGACACCACAACTGTCTCTATGCATCAGTGCCAGGACACATCTTACAGTATTATCACCCTCCTAGCTCACAGCTGATAGCTGAAAATCCTAATGCAGCGAGTCCCAATGCTTCTGAAAATTCTGATATCTCAAATCCCATCCATTTCTCAGCATGACATTAGTTAACAATCTAATTAAACATATAACCCTCAAGGTGCTTTAAGTATTTTCACATATTCTCAAAAGCAAATGGATGTAAATTAAACTCAATTATAAACAAGAAAATCAAAATATCCTAGTTGGCCAAACCCACATATTTCTACTAGTTTGTGTGTTGTGGCCTCATGACAAACCAGATCCAGCCATACTGCTTGTCATTTCTCTATAGAAGTGCTACTAAATTACATCTTCATACTGTGTATACTCACAGGATGTTGTATAATGCAATACCAAATTAAAACATTGGATATTGTGTACTACAATGTAATTTTATTTTTTTAATGTGTATAACAAGAAAGGGTATAGCTTAAATTCAAATTGAGTGGAATTAAAAACCCCCAACCTGGTAGTTTGCTAGCACAGTGGAATATCGTAATAGCAATGAATCAAATGAGAATGAAAATAGTTGCTTAATTTATGCATTAAACAAGTTTAACCACACACAAAGCAAACTGTCATTGCCTTTTACTCTTTATCTTCAACAATTAGCAGAGCTAATGACTTCTTTTGCTTTCTGTATGATACAAGACAGGGTTCAATCCCCACTGGAAAACAGTTCACACAAAACAAGGAAATGCATAAAGGGGAAGGTGATCTCTTTTATCTCCTAATATTTATCTAGAGTTATTCTCCTCAGGCCCAATCAAACAGTAAGGTGTCTCTCATTATTTGGAAACAGCCTTAGAGCTCTGAACATAACTGGAGCTTTCATGCTGGCTTTCAAAGGTATCTTTTCATGGCTGTCCCTGTAATGTCCTGAGAATTACACAGATCTCTTTATGAAAACATATGGAAGGAGCACCATGGATTTACAAAGACTAAGTCCATGAGAAAAGTGCCTATAAAGTCAAAAGAATTACAAAACGAATGAGAGCAGGGAGACCAGTAGGCACCAAAGAGCTGGAAGTCAGGGAAGCACTTTATCAAGTGCCTCTCAAAATATTACCTCCCGTTGGCTTAGACGTAAATACTGTCACAGGAACTGTCTGAAGGACTGCAAACAAGGAATAATAATAGACAAGGGGGTTGCATCTCATATGTTTCCTATAGGGACAAAGAGTAGCTGTCGTTTCAACAAAGCATTTTCACTTGTGCAAGGGGGAATGAAACAGCTGGTTAATAAAATATGTAGATAACATCAAGTTGAGAGAAGAGGGTAGGGGAACACAACTGAGTTCCAGAGAAATAGTACAAACAGCCCTGGAGAGCTTAGAAATACAGGAAGGAAATAACTGAGATGCAGCTCCTGGAAAACAGTACACTAATTCATCAGGGGAGAAATAGCTGTCACTGAAGGGAAAAAATCATTGAGAGCAATAATGTTGAAAGAAGGCTAGGAGGAAGCCAATGAACCAGAAAAATACTGATAATTAACAAGGAACTATAAAAGTGTACCAAAATTATGAATGATCCAGGGACTAATTTATGGGGGAAGAAAAGCAAAAGAGCTAAAATGCTTGTCTTCAATAGATAATCGCAGGGACATGTGATACCAGAATTGGTATAGCATGTAGTGGGTGGAAAATCCCCAAAAGGAAAAGGATTTGTGTGACTATCACCAATTAAATATCACTGTAAAAGCAGAAACGTAGGTTGACTATTGTAAAAGCAACCTTACCAATAAACACATGCAGGCCTATCTGCTGAACAACACAGTGGGAAGCTGTCTGTAGCAGACAGTGTCCACGTAGAGGCTACCCTTAAAACTGGAGTTGTCAACCATTGTCATTTCTCTGAAGGAGACAGATTCAAGATAACGGAAACCAGCTGAGGATCTGTTTTGATAGGTTATTCCCACCCTTAGTATATGCAAAGCTAACTGAAAGATGGGAAATGTCTTTTTGGGACAATTAGCTTCTCTAGGAGACAATACTTTACTTTTTAATGGGGTTTCTAGGTGGGTATAAACCATATACAGCCCAGTTATTCCTTTAGCTGCCTGTCACTGCCTTTGATAGCTTCATGCAGCCCACATAGTACCCTCTGAAGTCCCCTGCGTTATCAGTTCTATTCTTGGATTCAAAGTTAGGTGGGATCGGTCAAAGACAAGGCCAAACCAGCCATAATGTACTGTGTTTCTGCTCCTTTTATGGACTACCTTCACAAAGGGGGGGTCTTTGAATTTGTATTCAGGAATATTGAAAGGGACCTGGTAAAAGAAGGGTAATTAAGCCTTTCTGAAAGTGAAGTCCAATTTGGGGACAGTTGTCCCTAAAGAAGTGAGTCAGATCCTTACATTTCAAAGCCTGTGATGTTCTCCAATATATAAACAACATATAAACAATATAAACAATAACCCAGTCTCTTATCAAGGGTTTGCCTGTGCTTCGCAGCTCCTGTACAGGAGGCATTGCAGCAAACACCATCTCTTCCCTACAACCTGAAGGTGAGTGCCAGCTGTGCCTGTACCTGGATGCAAACTCTTGGTACTCCTCATAAGCAGAACGTCTCCTAGGATTCTGCATGCATCTAAGGCTCTGGGCAATCTTCCTTGAGTCAGTAAACAAAGGGCTGAAGCTCCTCCGTCCTGGCACTGTCATGAAAAGGCTAAGGTTTCTTGAGGAAGCAGAGTTCCAGCTCGGCATTTCAGTACCATGTTCGGGCTGAGCTGATGAGCAAGCAAAAGACAATGACACTGAGTTATGCAATATTAACAGAAAGACAAATTATGAGAAACAATATTTTTTTTTTTCTTTTTGTGCTAGCAAAATTGGAACATTTTACTTCCTCTTTGCCTCTTATTGCAGCAATGCTTAGCAAACACTCCTCTCAAAGTGTTAAACCTATGGCTATAAAACAGAGCACAGTTGGTAAACTGAGTATTTTCTTACTGACATGTAGATTTATTACATCATTGGAATTACCTTGGGTACCGAAAAAACAATAAATTATGCCATCAGTGGTGTAATTGTCATCCTACAATTTCAATCCTGTTAGACAGCATAGCATCAGCTGTGAGTAGATAATGAATATATCAAGGCTCCCTTCCAATTACAAAATGAAAGTGATAACATCCCCTGATCCTCTTTTTGTTCCTTTTTTCAAATATAAGTGTTCAAGGGGGACTTTGCCAGGACTTCCCATTCTGGCAAAGGCAGGTAGAACCAGAGAGGGGGAACTTAACTCTCATCAAAGACTCTACACCAAACTAAATCCTTTTCAGTGCCTGTTTCTCAGACTGTACATTTGAGGTTCCTTCAATACTTTATGTTGTGTCTTATACAAGACTCACTCCACCAGAAAATCTATCTCTAACCAGACCTGGTGGGACAGCCTTAATCTTGGGGGAAGATGCATCCCTCAGCTCATATTAGCTCTGAAATGATAGAGCAGATATGTAAGCAGACTTGCTTATATGAGTGTCTGGGTCAGACAGCATTACTGCAATGCAGATAAGCCTCGCCAGATCACTGGGAGTGTTGTCTACAGCGTTACATTTTTTTCATATGAGGATTTTTTAATTACCAAAAAGAATGCTAGAAATTCTGTAGTCCCTTCTCCCTGTGCATTTCATCATGGCATGGCTATGGCACAGCATCAGACACTCCTCAGTGCCATTTGTAATCCCTTCCCTTGGGATTCCAAGGGAAGCACTATTCCAGCCCTTGGACAATGCTGCTGGTTCACTTGCCTGCATAAAACTAGCAGTTAGTGGCAGGCAAGTGTAATAGCACAGGGGTAATAAGACGGTGAAATGCTACAGCACAAGCCGTCTAAAGAGAAAGGTACAGCTGGTCTACAGCTGAAAGTGTGACTGATTTAAGAACCAAACTAGGAAATACTGAAGAATGGCCTTTGGGCTTTTGGTAGCAGGGAAAGAGCACGAGGGGCAATGAACTCCCTAAGCCAGGAACTAGAAACATTGGGATTTGTTTTTCTGGGCTGGAGCCTTTGGTAGATCAAACACCCAGAGCGACAGCCGAACTGGCAGCCGCAGGGTGAACAGACTGTGTTAAAGCTGCTTTTCACTGATGTGTCAACAAGCCAGTCTGTTCTGAGATCAGACCGGTGGTTGCTTTTGCTGTTGCTAGGATCTAGCGTTCTAAAAGAAGGCTTTTGGGGAGCCTCTAGGAGGGGCCCTGACACTGTTGAAATTCTGTGGGATCAAATGACTAATTTCCTTATGTTCCTTTGGAAACTACTGTCTAAACTGTGGTAGTGCTCCACAAACACTCAGCAGGGGAAAATGCTGTGGGGGAAGCCTCCAGGAAAGCATCTGTTGGGCAGAAAAAAAATCTCCTCTCCTATGGTATCCCGAACTCCAGGAAACCTCATCTCCATCAGCCATTAAGCTGCCTTAAGTAGTTCATCCTGGGGCACCATCTCTGTCCTGTAGGCTCTCCTTGTTTGGGTTTTGTTTTTTTTTGGTGCTGTTTTGCTTTGGTTTTGTTCCACAGCAAGGGACACCTATACCCTAAAATTCATAGTGGAGTGCTTAGGAAGCTTTCCTAAGGGAGAAGAGGCTCTCAGTTCAAACTCACCTTGTCCAAATCAGTGCAATGATTTTAATCATGGTTTTCCACTTAGGAGGCTGGATTAACTTCCAGGCAACAGTGTGGAGGGGAAAAGGGATCTGACCGCAAATCTTGCTCTCTAATGTGCTTCATTGTTTGCTGGTAAACATACGGGAACCTGAGGGAAGGACTTGAACTTAGTGGCAAGCTCACACTCCAAAGGGTGGAACAGGCCCACTGCTTTCCACATATCTACCTTGCATCATATGTATAAACATGCCCTAATTTTCTTGAAGTGGATCATTAACTAAAGACGCGACTGGGAGGACAGGCACAAACAAATGTGAGCACGCACACATGTGCACGCACACAGTTCTCTGTGGGAGGCGACATCAGCCCCTTTTCCTTTGAAGACTAGGCCATTAAAACACTTTCACAATCTTTTCTCCTTTCAGAGGGCTGTTCATAGCAGGAGGACATACACTCCTTTTGGACAGCAGACAGACTGGGGTCTTTCATTGTTTTCTAATTTGTGGGGTGAAATCCATCTTCATTCATCAATACACTGGAGTGATCAACATTGGAAAAACCCCCTCTCCCAACCCTGGGGCAGACAAGCGCTGCTAGAATAAGCTGCAGCTGCTCCCTCCCAAGCCCTTCATCACAGCGCTTCACCAAAGCTAAGTGTTTTGATTTGGTTCAACAGGCAGAAATGAAACATTTCAACTGAAGAATGTCCAAGCATTTTGTCTAGGTCAAATGAAACATCTCGTGCTTTCCAAACATGCTGTTCCCCCAGCAGCTGAATTAATGAAGCCTAGTTTATAATGACTTTTCCCCTTCATTCTGCTTCCCCATACCCCTGTCCTGGCTTCATCTGGGCTCTCCTCCTATGGTTAATAAATGGGAAGGAGGAAAGGCCATACCAACCTTCTCTTCAAGAACAGCACCAACTGTATCTCTCATGTCTAAAGTAAATACTTTTAGAAAATCTGTAAGGCCTCATCCCTGAGGACACTATTCAAATATTTTTATTTCCCCCCAATGTCAGTCTTTCCATTTTTATGGTTGTGCAGCTCTAAACCAAGTGCCAAAATATCAGAATTGCCCACTGACAAGAAACTCTAGTCATAACTATGTTTCAAGAGCTGTGCTGCATCCCTCTTTCACAGGATGTTGAGCAAACCCCCTGGTACAATTGGCATCATCACTCTGATCTGTGTCAAAGTAACTAAAGAGAATTTAAAAATCTATGGGGACAAAATGCTCTATTTCGCTGCAAGGTATGTAACAGAGATTCGTCCTCCTTTCTTAGGCCTCCCTTGCACAGAGCAACACTCACACAAATCCCCACCCAGAACCAATTCTTCTTAGACTTGTCCTGTGTTTCTGTGAGAGCCAAAAGATCTGGTGGCCAAGTGCAAAGCCTGAGCCTTTGTCCCATGAGCAGCACTCTGCTGCAAGGTCGCTGGTGTCACTGCCCTCTGCCTCACAGCACAACACTTGAGAAAATGACATGGAGAAGGAGGCAGAGGGTGCAGAACCTCTGCTGGCATTGATGTTGCTCTCAGCCTCATCCTGTGATTATGAAACAGTCACAACATCTGCAACAGGGAAGAGCTGGATGCTCACTCTTCAGCAGCTTAATCTGGACCTGTCATGGCTCCCAGAACATGTGCATGCATCTTTCCACAAACCTCCACCATACCTCTATGTACTGCTTGGAGCACGGATGCAGATTTTTCTACATGGGAAAGCTAAGCCTATTATAAGACATGAAAATAAAAGGTTCTTTTTACATATGGAGTACTACTGCAGCTACACCCATTGTGAAACACAAGGAAATAACACCACTTAGTCCAGGGAACACAGGAATATTCTCTACCACCTGAGGCCTCACTTATCACTCTCATGTTTGGAGATATGAGCAGTCCCAGTCAGAGAGTAGGATATGAAATGGTATGTGGGCCACTCCACTCCAATATAGCCAAATATGACATACAAAGAAAGCCTCCTCTCAAGCTATACGGTTGCATTTTTACACTGTCTGCACATGGACAAATAAAAGACTCTGGTTTCTGTCCTAAATACAAACCAGTTGAGTCTCCAGAGGCTTACCTGTGGATCTCCTTTGCAAAGCCTGAGTTAGGCCAGAAGATTGTGCCAGACTGGGTATGTCTGTGGTCCTTCTGTCAGAGGGAGGAATAGGTAAACCCACCAAGGTCATGACTGAAGAATTCTGTGACCCGTCTAGTGTGGAGCTTGGAGCGAAGGAGCCTGCAACCGATAGCTGAGACCACCAGGAGGACATCATGTCTCTGCTGTATGAAAAAATGACCCTTCAGTAATTTGTCAAGTAAACAATCTTTAAAACCAAACCAAAGCATACATTGGTCACTTTGTCTACTAAATAAAAAGGAAAGCAAGAACAGGATCTTATATGGGGACAAGTCATATCACTATTAACCTGGAGAATGATTTCTCAACCTCTTCCTCATTTTAAAGTGGACACAGTCCTAACTAAGTAATACTACATCGTGATACAGCCAACAAACCTATCTTCAGCTCTGAGTAACATGCTTGTACCATCTAATGTGTCTTCATGCTGGATTGACTATTTGTCACATCCTTCCATCTGAGCAGGTCCATATCTGTGATGAGATCTTTGCATTCTTCTAGGCAGGTTGTGGCAGCTTCTGGCTGAAATCTGTAAGTCTTAATTCTCTTCTGCGTGCCAACACGGGCATGAGCAGACAAGAGTTGAGCAAGTAGTGTCTTCTCCCTGAGCCAAATGAACTTAAGCCACTTACTATCTGGAAGCTACCTTGCCAAGTCAGCACAGCACCCATCCTAACTAATATAATCGTTTATTAGGTTTTGGACCAGAGTCGGCTTATATCCATACTTCTGGGAGCACAGACAGAGGGATTTGGATTTGTCTGCACTTTCCTTAACCACGACATGCTTCTAGATGCCAACTATGTGGATTGCTCCCTTAGAAGGATGACCAGACATCCTGCAGGGCCTTTGTGTTTGCAAATACCTTCCACTACCATCTCACAGGAATTGCTGAGTTCCCCATATTAAGTCCTTCAAAAGAAAGTCTTTGTCCTTCTTGAATTTAAATAATTACATGGTTCATTTTATGTCATTCAGGGAACCCTGTAGAATTCCTTACTGTGGCACCAAGCTGCTGCTGCAGAGTCAGGACAGCAAGAGAGGTTCAGGGAAGCTTCAGCCTTGCCTCATGAGACAGGATGTGGGGGCTCTTCCAACTGCCCAAAAAGGGTGGAAGTTGCATGTCTTGTGAGGACAATATGGTGCCCTAGCAAGAGTTACTGTTCTCCAAAGCATAATTTCTCTGTCCCGCTCAAGGCATCAGTCCTTTGCATTGCCTCTCATGGGCTATGCCACTGCAGCTCCATGAATCCTATGCAGCCACTAAAAACATGAAGTCATTTACCTATCAGAGACAAGTAAGTTAAACTGTGCACTTTTTAAAGGAACTTATGGGATTAAAGACCATGTGCTTGTAAATGCAGAGGGACTCCCTGCACACACAGAGAGGCCATCATTCTAAGGACTTCCGTGATCTACACTGTGAAACAGGATAACAGAAAAAGTGCACTGTTCCTATGATACTGACATGTGTAGGACTTCTTTTAATTAGAAAACTCAAAGCTTAGCAGCATCTGTTGAAAGCCTCAAAGGAAGAAAAACTGTGTGTGTATTCATCCTTGTAAATATTCCCAGGAACACTATTTTTGGTCATGGCAACACAGTTGAGACTGACGGTATACAAGCTGGCAGCTTTTAGGCCACATTGGCAGGAAAAGAGTTTCCTTCCCAAGCATCTGGCCTTCATCTGTGCGGATACACTTGGTCAGGCCATTTATTTTATGATCTCCACCTGCATGTATGTACCTATGCCTCTGCCTGTGTGGGTGGGTAGGGCTGAGCATTTGCTGTATGTTGAAGAATTACAAAATTAACTTAATTACCTCCTGCTTCCAGCTATGGTTGTACAAGTCCAGAGCAATTTCAATAACTTTAGTGGAATTACTTGTGGGTTTATACAGGTGTCAGTGAGAGCACAGCTGAGCCCAGAGCAAAGCTCTACTAAGTGCCAGCTCATAGAAAACAGCCACAGAGACTGGCAACCTGATTCTTGTACCTAACAAAATTCCTGCTTGTGCAATGGATGTCATCCACAAGCATTACGCATTAAAACACATTATGGAATCTAAAATACAAATAAAGTTGTTGTGGTCTTCCTACTAGATAGAGCAAGAGGATGTTAAAATGTTCACCCCATCTTGTCACTGCGTAGAGTAGAAATGCCTGCACTACAGGCTGTGATCAAACAGAGGAGTGGACCAAAGTCTCGCTTCATTAAAGGAGGCAGCTAATGACCGTAGTAGTACCGGGATGACACATCACAACTAAAACCACTCAGATTTGTTTGCCACATAAATCTCTGTAGTTTCCAGCCAAAAAGGATGTGTTGATTAAAATGGCTCTGGAGGTCTTTAGTTTATCAGCTGGCAAATGGCTCCAGCAGACAAAAAAGCATAAATTTTATGGTTTGCTTTATATAATGCATAAATTATATTTATAATATCTTATGTTAATTATACTATGTTATGCTATGCTACGTTACACCTGTTTTATTATTTTATGCATCTATGCACAGATACCTACATATGTCTGTGAACAAATTAATGGTAAGCAAGATTCAGCACTCCTGCACGAAATCAAGTTATGTCAGTGTAAAGCACATCATGTGTGACAGGGGGACCAGATGACTGAAGCAGGTTTAGAGAATTTGCTTCTTGTTCCTTTAGACTTTCTAATATAAAGAGATCAGATAGGTCTATATTTATTGATAGATATGCAGCCATTACATTTTCCTTTAAGTTATTCTTTCCTTCAAGAGGACCTTTATTCTGTGGGTTTTGGCACCACAGCTGGTTAGTGAATCCCCATCCTTCCACTCTGGTTTGCAGATTTCAAGTGTATGCAGTTTCAATCTACAGGAATAGCATGAGGAGAACTGCGCAAGTGAAATTCATGCCTACTCCAGGACCTTGCAACACAATTTAGCTACTGACTGCTAGGTGGAACCTGAGCAAACAGCTCTGTTAAGTGGATAGAAAAAGCAGAATGAAAACTGCCATGGTCATTTTACTAATTACTCTCACAACTGTTCTTCCACTGCCTTTTTCAGGCACGGCCCCTCCAGCAGGTGCTTGTGGCTGTCTTGTTTTTCTCTAAGAGAAGGAAGCAGTTGCCTTTAACATTTTATGTGCAAGGAACAAAATAAGGTGAGATGGCCTAGGTTAGGAGGCTGGGTATGAGCTTCAGCAGTGCCAGGTGACGGCTCCCACTCTGAGTCTTCTTGGAGAGGTAAAGGGCTCCTTGACTTCAGTCACAAGTGTCTCAGAGACAGATGGGGTGAGGTTGGGTTGGCAAATCTACATGGGTTGCTTTGCCTTTGGTGTGCCTCCAAAACAAAGGATTCCTGGTAATTCAGCATGCAGGGGACTGGAATTTGATTTGGAAGAATACAGGGAAGAAGCTAAGAGCAGGTTGGACCTTTTCTAGGCTTTACAAAACTACTTCCTGTGGAGACAGTGTTCTCACGGGAGAATGCACAATTAGTACATAAACTCTGAATAATCCTGAAAGATACAGCAAGGCCATGAGAGGCCCGAAGAAGCTTAAGCAAGCAAGATAAGAAGAAGCTGGAATTCACTGAGTTAATGAGAACTGTGGACTGTTGGCAAGCTTTTGAGGTCAAGTTCTCACACCTGTGCTTAACCAATTATATGTTAGTCACTAAGGATCTTCAAGACACATATCCAATCATAATATGCCAACTCACTGTAAGTGCATGTAAGAAATAGTATATAAGGAGTTAAGGCTTTGTAATAAATTTGGCAATCACTTGATCACATTGATCGTCTCTGCGCTGTCCGTGACTCCCGCGTCAACAAGTGGCGCCCAAACAGGGACCCTCCGATCGGTAACTCGACGAAGACGAGTTTGAAGGTGTGACAAAAGGAGGGGGCGGAGAGCGCTGGGAAGTCAGAGGTCTGCAAAACTTTGCGAATCTCGCCCTGATCAGGTGAGCGGCTGGGGAGGAGATGGGGCATTTGCTATCCAAAGAGGAACAGGCGGTGGTGAAGCTCCTCCAACACATTCTCTCTAAGAGAGGACTGCAATATGATAGTGCTGCCTTACAGAGGCTGTTAAAGTGGTCCCGTGATCGCGAGGTTAGTAAAGGGACCAAAGATGCACAGAAACACTCTACACTTTGGAGATTGGTGTTCGAGACTTTGAAAGAGATGAAATTGGAAAGGGCGGCGGTAGCTTCTGTATTTGCCGCCACAGCTCCAGAAGGGGCTGTCTCCCCTAACCCCCATCATAGTGCTGTGGCTATGACTTTTGCACCTGCTGTGGTACCTGGAGCGGCGCTGAAAAAATCAACGCCCCGAGCCCAGGAAAGCAAGAGCCAGGTTCGCAGACGGCCACATACCGAACGAGACACCTGACAAGAAAGACATAGCTGTGAACAACAGAGACCCTGAGTTCGACCCAGGATCAGACCCCAAGTCCCCTGAATCCGAGCCAGATTTATATCCTCTGCTTCCAGACTTCGACTCTTCGTTTCCCTGGTCCGTCTGCTCAGCTCATCAGCAACTACTCACTGGCCTTGGAGATGCTCAGCTGCAACAAATGATGAAAAAGCTTGAAGCCCTCAAGGCTCGGGTTGACACATCTCCATTGGTGCCTCCACCTTATCCTCCGTAAAACCCCTTCCTTAAAGAAGGCAAACAGGGGGAGGGGGTGGGAGAGGTATTGGGGGGCACAAATCCTGTGCACTGTTGGCACGGGTTAATCAAAGATGCGATTATTACTGGTGAATTTTCTGCAGTGGGCCTCTCTGCATATCCTGTGTTTACTACGTAGCAGGGGGTTAAAGAGTGGGAAGCTTTTGATCTCAAAATAGTTAAGGAGGCCTGACAAGCGGTGGCCACATATGGGTTAAAATCCTCTTATGATTTTTTTTGCGATTGACAGGAGACTTTAATGACTCCCCTGCTATAATACGTGGTCAGGCATTAGGTTCAGGTTATATGACTAAAACTCCGGGTATTCTGGTCCAGTACAAGGATTTGGAAACCGGCATTTGGAAAGGTCCTGCGGAAGTAAAACTAACAGGTTGAGGTTATATGCGTGTAAATTACAGATTCCAGTTTGCGGTGGGTGCCAGCTCGATGGGTGAAACTCTGGAAAGAGTCAGCATCACCCCAGGACACCCGCCTTGTCAGTGATTGAATGAATTGAAATTTGAGCTCAGGACATCCGTTTTATGGATGTTTTCAGTCCTTCTTAAAGTGAAGGGAGCAACCTTTTTTACGTTAAAAAAACAACCAAACAAAAAAACACAACCAAAAAAACGCCCCCCCCCCCCGAACCTCCAGGGAAGCGAGATCAGTGTGGGATATAGAAGTATTGTGTGATTTTCTGGTGGTGGGAAGATCTCTCATATGCTCTTATCAGGGGTATTGGACATGCTGTGATGGACCGTGGACTTGGGAGCCCATATACAACTCATTTAATACAGTTTCTCTGTGATAATCATGTATTAGAAGTTGGTAAATGTAAGTATGTCCAGGTTTCTATCAACCTTTGGAGACCTTTATAGATATTGCTGGCCACTTCTTCCAACATAGGCTGGCCACCTGTGTCGGAATGAGTGTGCATTTTGGTCAGTACAAAAGCCCAAGCCTCATGCGCTGTGGGGGAGGCAGAGCCTTTGCAGGGACACCTGCTAAGGATGAGCCTGCCACCTCGCACTGCAATGATGCTTCTCAGAGCTGGTTTGCTGTTAGTCTCCACAGGGTCCTTGTGCCACGTTCTGTACGTGGGACTGTAGTGGGAGTAATGATTGTCTGGATTTTGTGCTTCAAATATTGTAGTTGTGTGGCGTGTGCTTGTGGGATCCCGTACGTGTGTGTGTGTCGAGGGCAGACGGTGTTCTGTGTATTTTTTGTTGTTGGGTTCATGTAAAAGTTTTTAACCGGTCGCAGTTTAACATTTCGGGCATGAAAGGGTTAATGCAAAAGTGCGGTTGCCGGCAGGTATTTATGGTTGCTGCTGAAGCAGGCAGGCGGCTGTAGCTGCTGCCGAGCAGGCCGGCGTTTGTAGCTGTGCAAAGCAGGGTGAGCGACTTTTGGGGAAAAAAACAAACAAACAAACAAAAAACCCTGACCTCCGATTCAGCTCCCGGTGCTCCACCGGCGGAACGGCCAGGATGGACGTCAGAGCCGAGGAGTGAAGGAAAAAAAAACAACAACAAAAAACAAACCAACAAAACAAACCAACAAACAAAAAACCCAAACAAAACCCAACCTCTCAATCTATTGAGGTATTGAGGCAGTTTGTAGAGACACCACAGACAAAGCCTAAAGAACACCCGCAACACAGTGGGTGCGGTAGGAGCCTTGCTTAGTATGTTTAAGGTAACCTGGGGGTGAGTCCAAGACCTGGAGGAATAGATAGATCGGTTGAAATAAGAACTGCTAACTGAAAAGGCGAGAGGGGTAGTGCAACCACAAGCTTTATGGGCGCCACTTAAGCAGCATCAGGGTGGCAGGAAAAAAAAAGAAAAAAAAAGAGGCAAAAAGAGGCAATGATGCAGCAAACTCCGTCACTGTTAACAACGTGCAGTTTAACCTGTCTGCTTCTCAAGAACTGATAACCTGGAGGAGGGGCTATATTTGTGTCCTCCTGCCTACAGGTCCATGGCGACTGCCTGCAAAGTTTGTCAAGCCTTGCCATGAGCTGGACAGACGAATGAAGGAACCTGATGCCTCAGCTACAGGAGCTTACCGTGAATACCCCAAGCAGAATGAGATAGAGGAAGAGAAAAATGAATGATTGCAAAACATCACCTGGGGGCAACTGAAAAGTAACATCCTGAATATGTGTGCTTGTAAAGTAGCTATTATTAGAGGCTGTGATTTTGTGTATAAAACCACCTGTACTTACTAGCCAGTTGCTAATGAGGAACTACACCTTGTATTGTATAGATTTGTCACTTGTAAAAGAGATGCTAGAGTATGGAAATTTGCAGTAGCTGCTAGAAAATGCTAAGGCAAAAGCTAGAAAGATTTTAATACAATGGTAGTGTTATAAAGCAGGTGATGGAACAAACTAAGAGGGTGGGAGGATTCCACTGGTAAGAAATTTCTTTGGCTAGTCCCTTGCTGCCATCAGCATCTTTAACATGCTGCTGCACCCTGTAATAGTTACTCTGCTAATGTAAATTTGTGTGTGCCTTGCTGTAGTAGCGACTTGTTACTGGATGAAACAGGTGAAACCCTGCATTGACAACAAGGTGCAAGGACTGAGGCTGACCAAATGCCTGCTACCACAGTCAAGGGCAAGACTGGGTTGGCCTCTGTGTTTGCCACCAAGAAGAACCTTTCGCTCTGCTGTTGGCTGCAACCCAGCAGGCGTGGAGCGGTGGGGACACATGCCATGCCAGACCTTGATGTGAAGGATCAGAGAGCTATACAGCCTGTTATAAGAGAGCCATACAGCAGAAAAAAGGGGCAAGCCCAGGCAGCCTCTAGTTGGCATATGTTGGAGATATAATCTAGCCCAGATCCCCTGCTGAAGTAGGGTCACCCAAAACATATATAAAACATAAAGGGGGAAGATGTGGAGACAGCGTTCTCACAGGAGAATGCACAATTAGTACATAAACTCTGAATAATCCTGAAAGATACAGCAAGGCCATGAGAGGCCCGAAGAAGCTTAAGCAAGCAAGATAAGAAGAAGCTGGAATTCACTGAGTTAATGAGAACTGTGGACTCTTGGCAAGCTTTTGAGGTCAAGTTCTCACACCTGTGCTTAACCAAGTATATGTTAGTCACTAAGGGTCTTCAAGACATGTATCCAATCATAATATGCCAAATCACTGCAAGTGCATGTAAAAAATAGTATATAAGGAGTTAAGGCTTTGTAATAAATTTGGCAATCGCTTGATCACATTGATTGTCTTTGCGTTGTCCGTGACTCCCCCGTTAACAACTTCCCCTAAAGGGAACAGGTATTAACAAAAGTTCTACAAAATAAAACCTGTTTAACTGAGAGGGGAAGGGAAATAGATCTTGGCAAAGACTTAAAGTACACATAGTACTGGAATTAAAATTGCTGGACTTGAGCAAGTTGGAAGCTTGAGAAAACTGGGGATCCAATGCAAGCTTTACCACGTTGGCTCATGGGTACTTCTGAAATAAATATGGACAAAAGAGTGAACAGCATGTGAACAACATGCTCTGCTCTAGGAGATCAGGTGGGGTAATAATGGGCCTCTCAGGAAAGGAAGAACTGCTAGGAACTTGGGAGGCAAAATTGTGTCTAGCACAATAACAGAAGAAAATTTCTAAGTAATACTCTTCCACTGATGCCTTTACAAACCTGATATTCTTTTTTTTTCTGAGGTAAAGGACTAATAGAGGCTTGGTGGCAGGGACCTTTCTTTGTCTGCCGTAAAACTCAAAAAAACCAAGAAAGTGACTACTCAAAGACAGATTTTTAAAGAGTTGCATGGCAAAACAGGTGATAACATAAACAGCAATTGATTTTTCCTATTAACTCTCCCACCTTCTTTGTCCAGGCACATCTCTGGTTGACTTGATTTCACTTTCCAGAAAGACATGCTTCTCCTGAGCTCCCTTCAGTGCTTCCTTCATGGCAGGAAGACCTTGTGCATCCTAGTAAAAAATGGCATGAAATCAGAGGGAAAATGTTTTTTGAAGTTTGTGATCATCACACCAGCTAACCTAACATGGACTTTGGATCTGAAAAACAAAAGCTTCATATTTTGCTCACTGTGCCAAAGGAGCTTCCCATGTTTTGTAAGTTTGGCTACCTATAATATTGATTTAATGAGCCAAACAGGAGAGTGTTCCTGTAAACTGCCATCCTTCAAAAGTGGCCTTGACTCTCAGCCAGGAAAAAGCTGGAAGAATTGACATCTCTCCACATAAAACAGTTGTGCCACTATGATGGAAGATGCTGCCCACAGGACAGTGTGACTAAGGTACAGCTCTTCAAATACACACCCAAACATGCACTGTACGTTGCACTGAGTAACTGGGCATGCTATAGAAATGTATAGACATCTCTCAACAACTTATGCACTGACCACTTCTTAAGAAGGTTAATACCACTGCTCTTGGAAGCACATGCATTGGGAAAAGAACTTGCTTGGCTCCTGGGAAATGACTGCTCTGCATTACTGAGCAGGGAGAGCAACGTGAGGCAGTCTCTGTGCAGCACATAGAAGCATAGAATCATTTAGGTTGGAAAAGACCTAAAAATCATTGAGTCCAACCATAAGCACACAAACTTCCAGACACACTGCAAGTTGGGAAACTGTCTGCCTCACCCAGGCAGGGCCAATATATCTCAGGGTCAATTGAGACAGTGGGCAACGGGTGTCAGTCAAAAAATACCCTGCAGAGCTTTGCCACAGGCTGGATTCTGGAAGCCACAATAACCATTACTCCAGTGTATCATTTGACATGCAGAAACAATTTGCTCACTGAGTGGTTTGACCTTCTTTAGTCTCTGCACAGAAGCCAATATTCTTGTAATCTGCAAACAAATTGAGCTACTTCTTAGCTTGAGTAGGACAGGTCAGTGTCTCATTGCTGAGCATCACACTTCCAGTGTCATCATTTTTCTTTTACCATGAGAAAAACCTTCCAGAATTTTATTACAGTAGCATCCCCGATGATTTGTGCAATCAGTAACATAGACCATGGTTTCGAAGTTTAAGAGACTCCATATTAATTCTGTACACACAGTACGTGACAGCTGAAACATTTCTGGATTTGTTATCTTAAATCAGACTTGTTTGTACAGCCCCCTCCAAATAAATGAGTAGGCCTACTGACACTTCTGTGGTTTGATTGCTGCCAATTCGATACATGTGAGAAATAAACTTGTGACTGCCACAGTACGCTAGATTCAGGAGCATAAGCACTGCAATATAAATATTTTGAAAAGAAAGAACAACCATCTCCATGCTAAAATAATACAATTTTGGTCTGGGTTGAGGCACTAATAAAGGAAACTGCAATATAAAATCTAATAATGCCACAATATACTTACAAAGAGAATTAGTCTGGATTAAAAGACATATCCTTCATGCTAAACAAATACTTCTTCACATATAAACAGGGACAAGAAATAAATACAGAGAGTCATGGTTTCCACTTCGAGGAATGATGATCTAGCTAGTTAATGTAAAGAAAGCGTTGCCTTTGCTCGGATTGGCATGATGCCATTTATGACCTCATTAAAATATAAATAGATTATTGTTCATACATTTTGAGTCATGGAGGCAAACCAAGTGAAGTTGACTGGGGCAGCCTGTAGAAGAGCATGTCTCCAGCTCTTCCTTCCCCAGAGGTTTTCCTGATGCTCCTTCTGCAAAATAATGACAGCATGTCTGCAAAAGTCCAGCCGAAATGTTGCCATTGCCTAGCCAGACTCCTCTCCCTGTGGGAGGAGCGGTTCAGGGCCCAGCTGGCTCACTGCTCAGGTTCAGACAAGCAAGCCCTGTTAACAGCTGTATCTGCTGCGAGGACGTGAAGGAGTTTCCAGCCTGCTGGCTCCACTGCCTGCCAGACTTCTCCTTGCACATGCTTACTCGTTCGCTTGACCAGCGAGACACATTTCCCTTTGGGTTTGAAAGTGCCGCACAGAAGAAGTGAAGGAGTTTGTGCAGAAGAGAGTATCCTGCTCCATCTGTGTGGCCACTGCACATCTTGTGGGAATGATGGTAGAGCTGGAAACATGGTGCTCACCAGCTCCTGCCACCAAGCCTTGAGCGCTTGGAGGAAATCCCCAGTTTTGGGGAAATGCTGTCCCTGACACCTGGCTGCAGCTGAATACCAGAACAAAGAGATGATACCATACCGTGCCACTCAGCATCTTCCAGTTCAGCCCATGCCCACACTGCTGCTTTGCTGAAGGACGGGCAAAGCTGCAGCCCCCTGAGCCCCACCACGAGTGCTTGAAGCTGGTAAAGATACCGAACCAGCCACTCCTACACAGAGGGGAAAGTGACCTTTGGCTACTGTATCACCCCAGCGTCACAACCATGCAAGGACCATTCCCAGGCTCTGGGGCAGATGTGGCACCAACACAGAGTGGAGAAGTCCTTAAGCCCACATATCTCTCTCTTCTTCCAGACCTGGAATGGGGATTCCACAGCAATATTCATGGATTGGGTTAGTTTCCCTGTTAACAAAAGGTCCTCTGAAAATCAAAATCAAACCTTTTGATTTCTTCATTCTACACTGCAAACTAACAAAGATGATAATAGTAATTAACCCTGCATCCTAAATGTTAATTACAAAGGCATAGGTCTGAGAGTAAAATGTTCATTCCTAGTGAACTTTAATTAACCTCAAGGCCTAGTATTATTTTACTTTAAGACTTCTTACTAGACAATAGAAAAATTTCTGGTATTTAGATTTGAAGCACAAATGTTATCTAAGGACAGATGAGTTACAAGGTAAAGGAGCCATCTGCCTGATCCAAAAATATTTTGCTTGAACACGCAGTTATCTGTCTTTTAGTTAATATTTTTGAGTTGTTATTCACTGATTTTTCTAATGCCTTAGTACATATAGGACAGCTCTTGGGAGAATCATATGAGACTATCATATATATATATATATAAATCCTACATATGTATATGTAGATCCTACTTATATGCCTTCACCTAGGGGGCAGCTCAGGTTAATCAAATGCTGATTGAGTGTTCATTTCAGCTGAGCGCTCCAGACAGGTCTACATTCATCACTTCCAGGGTGAAAATTCATCCTGCTCTTGCTAGTTGTTTTCTAATCAGCTGACTGCTCAATTCACTTGATTGCTCCCTCTGACTATACTATGGCTGGCTGCTTCCTTTGCCTCCCAATCACACTAATTGACCTCTTAGTCAAAAATATTCCAGGTTTCAGTGCTCTGCTCACAGATAATTGCACCCTAACGGATAATTTTGGCTGAGCATTCAATGCATATTCCCAATACAGGCACTGAGAACAGTGACTTAGGAAGCGTTTTAGTTAGACTATTAGTGGAAATAATCTGTAGGAAGGCATGCATGTAGTCACACAATCACACACTATCTAGCTAGATGGGCATGGCAATTAACTTCTGGGTCTATCCAAGAGTTAGGGCAGGTGATAGAAGTTGGTCTCCTTAAGTAATCACAGTAGCTCAAACAAAACCTTATCAACCCAGTTCTGTTGCATTCTGTGCGAAACTAGCATCCATCCATGGAAAACTGATGGCCTCTTAAGTGACATCTCCCAGTTACCAAGATTAGGTTCTGTTAGAACTTCACTGTGTTCCCCATGCTATTCATGTGCTATTCAAAATGAGAGCTATCAGGAGCCAGTAAGATTTGGATTGGGCTCTAATTTAAAAGTCAGGTGTCAAGTATTCACTCGGCTGTCATCAAAAGTTAAAATAATACTGTGTGTATAAACTGCACAAACAGCAGGGAGCAGTTTGAATAGTGCTCAGAGACTTACCTTTGTCAGGAAAAGTGTGTGCGGTCAGAAGACAGGAATTAATTTGAAAAAGTGCATTCTAGTCAACACCTTGTTTCCATTATGTGCTGCCAAAGTAAATTAAGCACCTATGAAGTTCACTCAAGATTGTTAAAGGCTTGCTTGCTACCAAGGAATTAGTTTCTTAGGTTGGCCATCTCTGAAAAACCAAGGAAATTCAGCACATATAAAGAGCAAGCAATTTGTTGACTGAAAAAAAGTGTAACATCTGCTATATTTAGAGATTTGTCTAGGGTTTTGCTATAGATCTATTTTTAAAGACATGCAGTTTTGCATATACAATCTTATTGCAGACGACTTTCCAGAACTGTAAGGCACATCAGTCTGGGTGCTTAGGAAGCACAAAACCTCAAAATCTGAAAAACATTATTTCTGCAGAGCTTTCCCAAGGGATTGTATAATTCTGCACCTAGTCTAAGCCCAGAAACCCCACCTGCACACTCAAAGATGTGGCTACCTGAACCCTTTCCTGCAATGCAATGCCTTCCCTGGGGCAGGCAGCCACACAGCCAGCCCTGTGCAAGAGCCAACTCCTCTCTCTAAATGCAGGGAACAGCATAGAGGGCTGAAAAGGGCCTGTGCTGTGTGTGCATGCTTCTGTAAATGCAAACGTTTGGGCCTTTGGGCTTGCTAGATCAGATTGATACAAACTTCAACTTGTCTGCAGGGTCCCTTCATCAGCTATAAGCAGGGCTCTGTACTCCCTGACAAATAGGACTTCTAACACTCAGCAAGGATCCTTTGTTTCTATAGCTGTTTTAGGAAATGGCTTGAGTTACATTAAAAAAATGATGCTTTTGTTGATTCTCGTATTAGGGCAGAGGCAGAGCTTGGTGGGGCTACTACTTTGAAGGGACATGAGACAGCAATACTGTGCCAGAGTGCATCATTCTGTGCATAGCCTTTCAGGAAACATTTGCAAGGAAAACCAGCATCTGATATCTTCATTCTGTTTCAGCTATTAAACTTTACAGCAATGAGCTTTCAGTGTCATTCCCTAATACCCAACAGTCAAGGTTTAGATACAAAGCTAACATTTGGTTCAGACTGATTTCTGAAAAAGGAATGCTGTTTTGGTTCAGAATTTTCCTCTTTCCTTAGTTTCCATATAATCATTA